AGGGAAGGTTATCTCCCTGGAAAGAGAGCGAGAATCAGAAGGAAGGGAGAAGGTTCCCAAAGGAGTCATCAAATTACCAGTAGTCCTACCAAAAGATATCATGTTAATAGCAGAAGTTACTGCAGTGATAAGGTATGCTTTATTCTGTTTTGAAACTTCTGCACACAGTGATAAAGATTTTTCCACACTATAGAAATCCGAAAAAGCAAACAAAACTTCCAGAAAATATATATATATATATAGATATATCTTCTTCTTGAAGGGGAATACTCTCCTTTACATAACAAACAAAATGTTCCATATGTTTTTTGCTAAATTTCTCTCAGGTTTTTCCTGAACAACTTGGCATTAAGTGCCATTCTTGTCAAGGTCATTGTGGCATTCTTGTTAAGTTGACCTGACCTTGAAATTATTTTTCGGTGCGATCAATAAAGAAGACTGAATTGTGAAATGGAACTTGTGATAAGCCAGGTTATACTTAGTATATTTCCAAAGCTTTTCCTTCTGGTTATTAGCTGTGTATATTCAAAATCTCTCATGTCACTTTGTACCCCCTATGGATTTTCTTTTTCCGCAGCTCTTGGAGCTGATTTTGCTTTGATCACCACTATGCTAGCTGTCTCTATGTGACTTCAAAATTTCATATCCATAATGTAGGATAGTTTTAGAAAACTTCAAATAAAGTTTCCTAGGGTTAAGTGGTTGATGGTTTAGGGCAAGGAAAGCTTTTATAGTTTCTGTTCTATTATGTATGGAAAGCTTTTTGGTGGTTGGTTTCAGTTTCAGTTCTATCATCTATCTATTCTATTATATAAAGCCAACTCTTGAGTTGGTGTAGATCGTCACAGTTTTTGGATTTTCCCAAAATACCCCCGGGACATGTAACTACTTAGATCTTAACTTTTTAAATTCCCTCAAAATATAAATGGCTTCAAATAACTACCATGATTATTTTAAATTTCACACATGGTAGTGTGTGCCCACCTCTAGTAAAAAGAAATATTTGAGCTGCAGAATGGTGATAGCCCTTGCCATTCACCAAAAATGCGATGCCCCTTCCATATAATTAAGATGCCCTTCAACTTGAGTGCGAAATGTCTAGTATATCGCTTTTCGTATCTTTGGACCATTAAACACAAATCATGCATTATCAAGTCAATACTTATCATATCTTCAGCTTTCAGGTGATAGGAGTCTTGGAATTGAGAAATTATGGTTGCATCATATTTTTCACATTGCTTGACAAACATGACTCCTTACAAATTGCTGGTAGAATTAAATCTTGCAGATCTGTATATTAGTTTCATTTATTTTGGAAGCTATTCTTTCTGACATTTTCATATTGTTCAGGTTAGAGTGGAAAGCTCAAGTGAGCAAACAAGAATGAAGCCACCGACAGCAGACTCAATTGACTGTTGTGATCTTGGACAACTGAAATCATCATCTGCTGCATTTACAAAGCATCATGAGCAAGAAACCCTGAAGCAATGTTATTTTTTGAGGACACAAAGAGAAGATGATAACTCCACTACCAATGAGCAAGACTTGAAAAGGGGTCGTTCTAAATTGGAGCGCTGGACGAGTTATGATGAGGATTAGAGAAGATGTTAAAAAACTGAAGAAATCAGAGTTGAGTTCAAGTGTCCAATCAAACATCAACATCTTGCTAAGAAGCCACATCTTTCTGCAGCTCAAATGCATGTAGATCAGACAACCTCAAAGTTTTCCAAGCGGGTGATCACTGCAAGTTGCAAATTACAGACCGTGTAGGGGGTGGCTGGCGGTGGATGGTAGTGGCGGGTGGTGGCGAGTGGTGGTGGTGGTGGTGGTGGTGGCGGCGGCGAGGGGTGGGTGGTGGTGACGAGTGGGTGGCAGGTGGGTGGTGGCTGGTGGTAGCATGTGGGTGGTGAGTAGTGGTGGCAGGGGGTGGTGGAGGGTGGGTGGTGGGTGGTGGTGACGGAAGACGGTGGTGGAAAATGGTGACGGGTGGTGGCTAGTTTTGGGTGAAAAAAAAAAAACTGAAAACTCAAAATGGAAACACATTTTTTGTGTTTTCATTTTTTGGCCAAATTTATAAACTGAGACCACTGATTTATAAATCAAAAATTTTACCAAACAAGTTTTTATTTAAGTTTTTAAAATTTTTGTAAATATAAACAGAAAACTGAAAATGTAAGTGTTACCAAACGACACCTAAGTGTTACCAAACGACACCTTTATTATTATGGTCTTATTTAATAATTTGTCTAGGCCTTTTAATTTTTTAATTTTTTGAGTATTTTAATCTGATTAAAAAGTTCATCCCTCGTGACGAAGTGGCAGTTGCTGCGCCTTGGGGTGCAGTAAGTGAAAGGTCGGCCTCTTTAAATTGTGACTTAACTTTACTAACATACTACATTCTATCTTTGATAAATAAAAAAAAATAATGTCTAACTAAAAAAAGTTGTCATTGAAAAGTTAGTTAGTTAGTTATTTATTTTATTTTATTTTATTTTATTATATTTTATTTTTTGTATAGTTGATTTAATAATTATGAGAAAAAAAAATAAAATAATTATAATTTAAATGTAATATTTTTCGTAATTAACGTAAGTTGTGATGATTTTGGCAAAAAAATATTTTCTACCTTTTTAGAGGTGAAAAACATCTCCCAACCCTAATAAATAAGAGATTTACCAAAGCCGCCACCAGGGTCATAGAATTCGGTTAGATTATTATAATCAATACTTTTACGGCTTTAGATTATTATATTTGCCCATACATTTAGAAATTTGGAAAAACTGGACACAGATTAATTTTATTATTTTTGCTATAAAAAAATAAAATAAACAAACAAACAATTTAAGAACCATGCACAGGATCAAATTCTTAAAAATAATCATCTGAATTATTGTTACAAAAAAAGTGCCGACTCAGGACTATATGTCTCGCCAAAGATGGTTCACTACTTCCCATTTGCAGTGTGCTCGATCAATAAAGTGTATAAAAATAGAACAAGTAAGCCTTATGTATGTGGATGGGATGACTTAGAGAATTTTACTTTTACCAATTTTCCTACACCTCTATTGGTTAGGTATACCGTTGATGTGGTGCTCCAAATCCATAGATAATTTCTTTCCTGTAAGCGGGTCAAAAAAAAAAAAAAAAAAAAAATCTTTGCTACTTATAACCAAAGGGAAAAAAAAGAGGACTGGTCAATATATTAATGGAAATTAATGAAAATATCAAGTCATACTTTTTACAAAAACTTTTCATTTGGTATTTTTAACACCACGTTAAGAGGACTGGTTGATATGTTTATAGAACTTAATGAAAATTTAATGAAAAAAAAGTAAGACTTATTGAATTTCTTTTCAATTTATGTCTAGTGTTAAATTATGTTAGCAATCACAAACATATTATTTATACTATTATATAAATCATAGAACTCACTTTGTATAATTATTTTTGTCCTATAGTTTTAATTTTCAAAAAACCCTCAATTATATTTTTCCCACTGTATTTTTATTGCCTAGCAATTACTACGTAGTTGAAAAAGTAATTTCATTATGTCAATAACTGCTATTCACTGCACATAACATTCTCTCTCTCTCTCTCTCTCTCTCTCTCTCTCTCTCTACTAATTTTCACCATACCTTATGCAAACCATATTAATAGCCTAATAGTAATAAGTCTAGTGAAAATTAAATTTATGTAGTGTGAGATCTATATGTAGATTAAATCTGTATTATAATATGATAATTCTAAATAATTTTTAAGTAATTAAGTCCGAATCCATAATATTATTGTATTAATAATGTGCAATTTTAAAGAGTTCCATTTTTTTTCTCTATACTTAATGCATTGATGATGTATCGAATAAAATTTTAAAGTTAGGTATTAAATTAGGTCATGTATCATTAGTGGTAAAAAAATATACAATTAAGTGCACAAATTTCAAGGATCATTGGGATAGAGAAGATGATGATCATGGATGTGTCTGTATCATTTTCACACTTAGAATGCACCCACGGCTTAATGGAAATGGGGTCAAGCCATTATGGTCGACCCAGTCCTCCATAAAATTTATTTATTCACATAAATACTTTTCTAAGTCAATAACCAATTGGTCACCACCATAGCTTCTTCTATTTTCGTTGTTCATCATTGCTTTAAGCAATCAAATGTTTGATTTCTGAATTACATGAATATAAAATCTACTACTAACCCATAAAGTCATATAACGAGCGTGATCCCAAAATGCAATGAACCCTATCAATTCATAATTTATCCTGTGCGATAAAAATTAAATTGATAAAGTGTGGTAGAGATTAAATTGGCGGAGTCTATCAGTAAAATAAATTTAAACCATTGATTCAATTTTTTGGGTAAATTCTGGGTTCATAAGTTTGAGTTTGTAGTGTTATTAAACGCGACCCACACAATGTATGTGACCAGATAAAAAATTTAAAAATAGATTTCTCGAACAAATTTTATAGAATTTTTTATTATATATTTTGTGTATATTTTTATGATCACCTTATGTATTTGTTTTGTAGTAGAATTGGAATAAAAATTTGACGAGATAAGTTCAAGACAGACCCATCTAAAAAATAAGTTCGCAACAAATAATCTCAAGTTAAGTTGTTAAAAGAATAAATTTTACTTATTTTGCAATAAAAATATTAACTAAGCTGTTATATATCAGTGAAATATTTCTTCGAAATTCTTGCAACCTATGTAATTTTTCATGCGTCATGGTGAATCTCCTTATGTTTAAATATATAGTAAGTCGTACATTTACACATGTAGTTTGTTGTGAAATATTTTTTTTTTTTTTGGGTTAGCCTATTTCATGATTAAGCCTGGAACTTGGCAAAACAAACATTGCAACTGATAATCTTTTTTTGTTGTCTCAAATTTACAATTGCTTCTCATTACAGAACTCTTAATTTCCAATTCACAAAAACTGAGATTTTTTTTCCCCACTAAATGATTCATTTACATATCCAACAATGCAGATATTTGAACTAATGAAGCAAAGCAAATCAATAGTCTTGACAGGCCACTCAATTGGAGGAACAATAGCTTCACTCTCAACTCTCTATCTCCTCTCCTACCTCCAATCCATTTCCTCTCCCCTCACCTCTGTCCTCTGTTTCACATTTGGCTCTCCTCTCCTTGGCAACGAATCTCTCTCTCGAGCCATCCTCCAAGAACGATGGGGATCCAACTTTTGCCATGTAGTCTCAAAACATGACATTGTGCCAAGACTTCTCTTAGCCCCCCTATCTCCTCTCACTCCTCACCTCCATTCCCTCCTCCAATATTATCACTTCTCTATGAAAGACCTCGCGGTTCAAAACATTCAATTATTACCCAATGAAATGAAAAATGAAATATTTCTCTCTGTGTTGGCCTATGCCGAGTCATCAGCAAAGCTAGAAGGGGGACAAAGGCCTGGTAGAGAGTCCTTTTGGCCATTTGGGAGTTACGTGTTTTGTACTAATAAGGGAGCGATTTGTGTGGACAATGAAATCGCGGTTGTTAAGTTGTTGCATTTGATGTTTTCAACCGCTTCTGCGAGCTCTAGTATTGAAGATCATCTCAAATATGAAGAGTATGTTGGGAAGTTCCTTTCTTGGCAATTCTGGAAAACTGGAGGCCTCTTGGAAGGGGAGTTTTTGGATTATTCAAGCTATGAAGCCGGGGTTAGACTGGCATTGCAGTCCTCAGAAATTTCTAGTCATGTAAACCGAAAAATACCCATTTAAGATTCATTCCAATATAGTATTCCTATTTTTCTTATCATTTTCTTTATTTATTTATTTATTATTATTTTTTTGCAGGAACCGGCTTTTGAACCAGCGATACAATGCCTAAAGACAGCCAAACGAATGGGACGTACGCCAAACCTCAATAGTGCTAATCTTGCTATAGCACTGTCTAAAATCACACCATTAAGAGCGCAAGTAGAGTGGTATAAAAAGACTTGTGATGAGTCTGATGAGAATCGAATGGGGTACTATGACACTTTCAAGCTAAGGGGAGCGTCAAAAAGGGATGCTAAAGTCAACATGAACCGTATAAAGCTTGCCCGGTTTTGGGATGACCTAATCCATATGTTGGACACCAATCAACTACCCCATGATTTTCAGAAGCGAGCGAAATTCGTAAACGCTTCCCATTCTTATAAACTCCTATTTGAGCCGTTGGATATTGCAGAGTATTATCGAATGGGAATGCATCGAGTCAAAGGCCATTATGTGAAGCATGGGAGAGAGAGGAGGTATGAGATTTTTGATAGATGGTGGAGGAATAGGAAGGTTGGCAATGAAGAAAATAACAAAAGGAGCAAATTTGCTGGCTTGACACAAGACTCATGTTTCTGGGCGAGAGTGGAGGAAGCGAGGGAGTGGACAGAGAACATAAGGAGTGAGAGGGATATGAGGAAGCTCTCTATGTTACTCGAGAATATTGATAAGTTTGAACAGTATGCAAGTGGAATTGTTGAAAGAAAGGAAGTGTCGACAGATGTCTTGGCAGAAAATTCAAGCTACCATTTGTGGGTGAAGGAATGGGGAGAACTAAAATCACAGCTGCAGCAATTCCCCCCTCAGTTCCCAGGTTTTTTTAAAGGGAATGTCGTTCCATAGATTATATTCTAAGATTGATAAGCAAGGCAGAGGCAGGCAGAGGCACTCCTTTACTAGACAAGAAGTCTGGTTTCAAGTCTTCTTGTTGCGCTATGCAACTTCTCTTTCCCCTATTTCCATTTTACCAATTGTTTAACAGGAAGGAAAAAAATAAAAAATAAAAGTGCTTCGCGATGTGATCTTACTGATTGACTAGGAGTTATGTATGTAAGAATAAATAAAGAAATAAAATCAATATTATGGAGCAACAAGTGATGATTGACAATGTTGTATCATTCTACTAAATCTTCAGGCAAATAATGTTTGCCAATATAAAATCAACATCAAAAATAATACATGAGCTGTGAAAGTTAGACTTTCCCATTTTGAGCATCAATGTTCCTAACTGGACCCTTAAACCATTTTCGGGCATCTATCACCCACCAAAGCATTATGAGGGCTAGGCCAACACCTAATGCGACAGGTGCATAATTGAAAGTGTTCCATGTAATCGGATAGAATGTTGGAAGAAGGAAAACTGAACAAGTATAACAAATCCATAAGAAGGCTATCAAGCAAATAGGCCTTCTCGCTTTGCCCAAATAAAATGGTCCAGCTTTGAAGTTCTTCTCTGCCATTATCAATCTTGCAAAGATTGGAACAGCGTAACCACCAACCCAACCGATCGTGCATATGGAAGTTATGGCAGTGAAGACTACATTGACTTTCAAGATGGGGAGCCCGAGCAGAATGCAGATGGCTGCGCAAAGCCACACTGCATTTGAGGGAACTTTGTGTTTTGGGTGCACTTTTCGCCATATAGATGAAAATGGAATTCCATTATCTCTTGATAGAGCATACACCTGAATCATGCCAATGATCACACACAAACACTTAATCACCAATGGCACGTAAAGAGACACGAACGCATGCATAGTTTTTAAATTGTGCAATGCTTCAACAGTTGCGCTACATGCACAGAAAGAATTTCACAAAATAGGACAAAGAATTTCACATTTTGATTCACATCTGTACATTATGTGTCTGGTTCTTTTTGTGCCCATAGACTTTTTCATGTTTCAAAATGGTTTGAAATGTGATTCAAAAGCATATGCTACCCAAAATGCTAAATTAAAAAGAAAAAGATATGATACTTTGCTTACCACTCTGGCTGCACTAGTTGTGATTGAAAGCCCACCAAAGAAGAACGAGCCCCAGATGACAAAGAGTAAAATGATTGCTCCAGTAGAACTATGATATCTCCCATAGAACGCATCATAGAGTATTTGAGCTGGTACAAATGTCCCGGCAGTTTCATTTGATTTATCATACAGGTAGCTCGGATCCTGAATGAGGAATTGTAAATTTGTAATCACATAAACCAAAATTTAACTAGTCCACGTCAAATTAAGTGTTTGGAATGCATTTCAATAGTGAGTTGCACTAATAGCCACTAGCATTCTAATTTCTATCTAATTGTTTTGGACCTCACAATAAACATGCTCTCTGACTTCAAGGTGTTGCGTGAAAATTTTAGTCAATAAGGGATGCGTTAGTGCTTTAGAAAGATTGCAGGGTCTTTAGGCTTTTACTGATGACATATATAGGGATTTTCTTGCTTGTTTGAGATCATACAAGGCTTACTTCAATTGGCAAACAAGTGATGGATCAGAAGTTTGCTAGGGCTTTAAGAGATAGGGATATGAGTGGTGTCCGTAGTCCTAGTTTTCGTGGATCCAAAATTGGTTAAAAGCGACTCTTACCTGCGAAAGTTACTTTGTATCAAATACAATTTATTTTTCTTCCTCTTTGGCATGGCTAAAAAACATCTGCTTTTCAGCTAAACAATTCAAAAAGGAAAAGCCTATTTGTCTTGAACTAAAAAAGCTTTTAAAAAAAATAAAATAAAGTTTTCCATTAACATAAAAAGCAACTTTTTTAGCAATTACCAAACGCATCAGTTTTTTTAGATTCTAAAACCGCAAACAAGTAAAAAGAAATAAAAGGAAAAAAACCTAAAAAACCAATTGCCAAACTCCACCTCAAGATGCTTCCAAATATCCCAAGAAAAGCAAAGATGATTAATCTTAAATGGTTACCTTAATGCTGAAAGTGAGGGCCAAAATATAAGCCCATCCGAATATGGAAATGATCCCGATGCTAGAAAGAATTGCAATCGGGCCATTCTTGTCTGCGCCTTTTGTTTCTTCAGTTAGATGTGCTGCAGCATCATATCCGTATAGCGAATACTGACTGACAAGCAGAGCCAGAATTGCTGCGTAAACTTTGTTTGATATTCCGGTTGATTCTGTTGCCAGTTCGAAAGAAGTGAAAACATAGGAAGCAGATTGTCTTGTCGTTGCCACTAGTGGAAGCATAATAACTATGACCGTTCCTCCAATAACCTGCCAAAAACTCGAGTCAATTAAGTGTTTTTTTTCCACAGATTTGGAACCAAAAGTCACAGCCAAAGTTGGAGTTAGTTTGGATTAAATCCATGTTTTGTTATAGTTGCTAATTTGAAACTAATGTGTGTTTCTATTTCTTGGAAACTTAGAACCCTAGTCCGATCTAGCCTCCAAGTATTCTGAAACTCACTTTTCTAAAATCAAGTTACCATGTTGAGATGGGGTTGTATAAGAAATTTAACTTTCTTGTATTTTCCATCATTCTCATGCTAAACAAATGTGGGAAATTTTTCAAAATTTTATCCTTCTTGCATCTTCGACCACTTCCATTGTAGCCAAACTCAGCCAAAGTGATTCTACAGCATGGGGGGGTGAAGCAATTGAAAAAGAAACAGTTGAAACTTGAAAGCAAGGTAGAGAGCAAAAAACAGCATACCTGCCACCATATTGAAATGATATCAATAAAAGCAATGACTTCTAATGCAAATGTGTTGAGGAATGCCCAAATGACAGTAAGACCCACATACATACATAAGAACAACCATTTTGGGGCTAAGTACCCTCCATCTTTGTTAGTCCCAGTGCATAATAGAATGATACTTTGCAAAGTCTGAGACCCTGCATATGCCTACAAAACCATCAATACTAAAAGGGTTAGAAACACAGAAACCAACAACTCATGTAAAATTATGTTCATCCTGTGTTTTCTGTGTTTGATTTTGTATTTGGTTTCTGTGTTCATAGACTCGTGTTATACCTTGAGAGTAGAGGAAGTACCTGTGTTCCTATGCCTGCAATCAGGCCTATTGTCTCAAGCCAAGCACAGCACCACGATGAGAATGGTCCCCATTTGGGGCCTGCTAAATGGGCAGCCCAGAAGTAAAGAGAACCGGTTGTCTGTAGATTTTGAAGTTAGACAAAATTTTCAAAACAAAGCATGCTAAGTAGGCTTTCTCAAGACCTTTTTACAATACGAAATATAGAATGATTTTTCTCACTGAAAATTGGCATTCTCAATGTTTGTTGACAGTGGAAAACATATCCATGCATGTGCAAAACTTGGGATAGTAGCCAAAGATTTCACTGTAATGCACCACAGCAACAGAAAAGCGAACTATGTTGCTTTTTCTCACAATTTCATTTATAAAAAATAAAAATAAAAAATTAATTGGATTAGTTCACCATAAATTTACTTTTGAAAAAAAAAAACAATGAATGATCAGTATTCAGACTCTTTTAGTGGTTATTCATCCTTCTGGAAAAAATAACATAGCAAGCTACTCAATTTTTAGAAAACATTCATGGTTTTAACTGTTGCTAAAAGCCTATTTCTCCAAGTATTCTTACTTCATTGCACAGTTTTTACAAGACATGCAATAAAAAGTTGATTGTTTGCTTATTGCACTTTCAATTAATCCATTCCATGTGAACTAAAGTGATATGTGATCAAACCACAATTGAAAGAACTAAATAAATAGAGAAGGATCATACTAATAACAGTTTAATGAGTTTACTCTAAGACGGAAATAGTGCCAAAATAGTTTACATGTTTCCAATGTACTTTTACACATTTCTATGCATTTTTTTCACACAATTTGATACATATTTTACACGTGCATCAATGCTAATGATGAATGGACTTACAGGGATTTAGGGAAAGAGGAGCAGATTTCAGCCATAGCAATACCAACAAACCAAGTGAAAAAAGAAACCACAACCCATCCCCAAACAAGAGTTGCTGGTCCTGCAAATTGCAGACTTGAACCGTACAGAGGTGTGATTCCAGTGAAAAGTGTCATTGTTGAAAATGATATTGCTAGGGTCTTGAACAGAGTCTGCACAAACAAATCAATGAAATTAAGACCATACAATTATACAAAGAAGCAAAAAATATTGTAAACCAATCAAAGAAAGCATAAAGGGGAACTAGAGAAAGAAGAGGAAACAAGATCACTGATTGAAATCATGAAGAAAAGTTAACAAAGTGAGGATTTTTGGGATGTCTTTCACCATCTCTCTTCTGAGTTCTTGCTTGTATCCAAGTTCATTGAGCCGTTTCTCCCCTGAATCCATTTCCTCAGCTTGGATGGACATGATTTCTGATGGGTTTTTGTTTCTTGTCCTTCTTGTTGTTCTTGATTTCCCCAACCCAAAGAAATCAAGATTTCAAAATGAAAACCCAACTCAAAATGGAATTCAACCACTCATATGGAAATGGGTTTTGAGAGAGAGAGAGGTGGAAAGAAAGAGTTGACTCGTTCATGTGTTTATACAGATATAGAATTGGTTTGTGTCTTAAAAGTGGAGATTTGTGTTGAAAAACTAGGTGATATATGTATTATTTTGCTCATTAGCCGAAGTTTGAATTTTCGTTAACAAGTCTCCTTCAACTAAATATGTGGAAACGGCTACTTTGAATCATGTCCAATTTCACATTGGAAAATTATCATCTCCAATTTCACACTGGAAAATTACAAGATGGTGGTAAACATCATAAATATTAATAATTAAAATTATTAAATTTTTTATGTGTAATAATTTTTCAAAATCTATCCTAAATAGTAATTTCCCCTTTCACATTTGTAGTCGTGCAACTTATATACACGATTTCATTCAAATGCAAGTTTGGAAATTGTGGATGGGAACACCCAAAAACATATATTTGTGATGCACGACTGTTAAAAAAATTTCACATATACATAAAATTAAATTTGAAAAGCAACCTATATATAACAAGGGCAAAAAAAATTAGTTTATTTTTTATTGTAGGTTTTCTTAGGTTGGTCATTGAGCTTCTAAATATTAATTTGATGTAATTTCTTCCAATGAAAATTTTTACACATAATTTTCATATAGAAGAATGATGTGGTTGTTTATGATTTTTATTTTTATATTTCAAATTAAAACATTCACTATTAAAGATAATAATTTTAAAAATACCATCAACACATCATTTTTATAAGAACTTTTGTAAAACTTATAGTTGTAAATATATATAAATGGACTATTGGAGATGGTAATAAAGCTTCTCTTTGGAATGACTGGTGGTGCAGAACCCAACCTTTAGCTAATACTTCACTTGGCCCTCACACTACCACTCATAACACTGTCAACTCTATCATCAATGAGGAGGGGGACTGGAATTTGAACCCGATTGCTTGTCACCGTTTACCTATTGATATTGCTAACATCCATAAAGTCAATCTTCCCCAATTTGTGACTTTTCCTGATAAACCCCACTGGACAGGTTCTCCCCAAGGTAGATTTTCTTCCAAATCTGCTTATGACCTCATCTTTAATGTTGAAGATCATAACTTTTGTTGGAATTGGATTTGGAAATTAAAAATTCCTCAAAAATTCAAAGGCTTCTTATGGTTTGTTATGCATGGTAGACTCCTCACAAACCAACTCAGAGTCAGCAGAGGTTTTGACAGCAACGATCTTTGTCCTAGATGCCATTCTAATGGGGAAAGCATGAGCCACCTCTTTAGAGATTGCTATTACTCAAGGGAGTTGTGGAAAAATTTGAAAAATGATCGATGGATTAGGGATGGCATTGATAAGCCTCTGGATGCTTGGCTTTCTTTTAATCTTTGTGATAAAACTAAACTTGCAAGTATCAACTGGAACATATGATTCACTGTCACCCTTTGGTTCATTTGGAAAGGTAGAAATAAAATTGTTTTTGATAATTGTGATGTTCGCATTAGTGACAGCTTACGCCCTGTGTTCCAGTATACTCAAGAGATCCATGAGGCCTTCTCTTGGATCCATGATCATCAAAGAATTAAACTAATCAATTGGTTGCCTCCTCTTACAGGTAATATCAAGCTAAATGCTGATGGATGTGCCAAGGAAAGTTTGGAAAAAGCTAGTTTTGGGAGGAATCTTTAGAGATGCAAAAAGTTTTTAGATTTTAGGATATTCTAGAAAGTTGGATGTAGCAACAAGCCTCGAAGCAGAAATATGGGCTATTTATCGTGGAACAACCATCATTCATGAAAAAGGTTGGAGAAATGTGATAATTGAAACAGACTGTCAAGATGCTGCCAACCTCATCAATGAAGGAGCTCATCCAAACTGCTCTTACCGTGCTTTTGTGGAAGATATTAAATTCCTTACTTCTCGTATGGACTGTATTATCAAACACATTTTGCTTCTTAAAAACAGCTCTAATCTTTCACATTTTCTTTTATCAAATTTAAGGCCACGTTTGGCAATTTTTAATTTTAGTCAACAAGTCAAAAAGTTATTATAAGTTGTTGCATCACTTTTTCTATTTTTTTATACATTTTTTCGTAAAAAGTCAAAAAATTACTAAAATAAATAGTACTCAAAAAATTATTTTCAATTCTTTTATCAAATGTTCATCAAATCAAGAGTAATTTTTTTTCATAAAATTTGAATTTGATAAAGAATAAAAAAGATGAAGTATTAAAGGTGATTTTTTTCGTCAAATTTGATAAAAAAAGTGAAATTTAAAATAAAAAAAATCTATGAAAAAATTGAAATAATTCATATCAAATTAAATTTTTCTTATTCAAACTAGAATCAAATTAAATGAAAAAATTAATAAAGGGTTTAGATATGGTTCAAGATAAGTCAAAGGCTTCAATAATAAGGAAGTAGAGATGATCCAGTACATCACAACCTTCCAACACCAATGCTTTATATTCATGAAGAAATAAAAAAAAAAAATTAAATTAGTGATAAAATTTTAATTATTAAGGACATAATTTTTTTATATTATAAATATGTGATTATTTTTAAAAAGTTGTCCTATACTCATTTGTCCATGTTGATTGAAATTAGAGATATTCATGCAAAGACAAGTTGGAGGGACGTGTATCTCTCTACACGTTAACTAATCAAACACATAACTATATTTTGATCCTTCCAAGATTTTGACTTTGATTTTCAAGCAATAAGTGACACCACACCACCATATATTACAACTCTAATTTTGACCTATTTTGAGAGATGGGTTATAATCCACTTCTCATATTATAATCTATTTCTTCTTTCACAAAAAAATGACTATAAGTAACTTTTTATTAAAAAGTTGATTATAACAATCTTTTCAAAATAGCCCTTTGAAATTCTAAAAGAATTTCTAATGATGTGGTAAAAAGTGATATCTATATGTGACGTAATGTGTGTATCTTTATTTTATTTTATTTTGGTTATATTATTAAAGCTTTTTTTAAAACTCCAAAATTATAATTCTCTATCATTGTTGTATTTATTTATGCCCAAGAATTACAAATAAATAAATAAATAATAATCAATCATATCCACTTCTAAATAATAAAATAAATTTAAACTAGCACTCGATCCGTATAATATATATATTATTTTTTAAAAAATATTTAATGGTATAATGTGTGTTATAAAAGAATAATTTTAATTTTAATTTAAAATTAAATTAAATTAAAATTAAAGTATGATTTTAATTATTTATTTTGATAATATTCTATAAAATTATTACTTGAATACTTATATATATGGATAAATTACACTCATCTCCCATGAGGTTTTTGACAAATATAGAGACATGTGCAGGGCGGCCTTGGCCTAAAGCCAATAAGGCTTGTGCCTTTGGCCCCACAATTTTGGCCCAAAAAAATGGCCCCCAAATTTAATAAATTGTTATAGGCTCAACCTTTTTTCTTTTCCTTTCTTTTCTTTTTTTGTTTTTGTTTTTGTTTTAGGATCAATTTAAAGGCCCCAAAATGTTTTATTGGGCCCATGGTTGGTTTAGTCCATATTTATGTGGTTTGGCCCATATTTATTAAAATAAAAATATATAAAAAACAAAAAAAAAACAAATAAAGTGTTTGGGCCAGCGCAAACCATACATACAATATACAACATTGTTCACTAAATATATGAAAGTAAATTTTAGTTTATAATTTTAATGATTATATGTGCAAGTATACTTAAATAAAAAATTTGTGAATACTTATCATTTTAATCATAAATTTTTTATTAAAAAAAAATATATTAGAGGGGCCCCATTTTCATAATTCACCTTAGGCCCCACAAATCTCAGGGCCGGCCCTGGTCTTATGGTTTGAACAATTACACAAACCTCCCATACTTTAACTGACATTGTCTAGATTCTCTCATTCCGTCAAATTAGAACAAATGGTGTTACTTGCATATAGTAAATGACCTTCTCACCCTTCATTTTGAGCACAAAAAGACGATAATACCATTCTCCCCTTTGTTTACGTTATACAGTAATTAAATCATGTATTATTTTTTAGGATTTATTACTCTTATTGCCCCTGCTTTTTTGGATTCAATTTTTTAAAATATTAAAAAATGTTTAAGAAATTTTTATTTTTTATTTTAAATATATATTTTTTATTTAAATAATTGTTATTTTTTTTATTTTCAATAATTTAGTTTATTTTGTAAATATTTTAATTTTTTAAATTTTAATATTTTAAACTTAAAACACAACTTCACGCTCAAATCATAATTAAACACATAACTCAAAACTCAATTCAAAAATTATTTTCAAACCTCATAACCAAACACATTACTCGAAACTCCATACTATTTTCAAAACTCTACACTTAAATAGTAACCAAACACATAACAAAAAAAAAATAAAATATTTAAAAATATATTTATAAAATAAAATAAAATATTTTAAAAAATAAAAATATTTAAAATAAAAAGTAAATATTTAAAATTAAAAAAATTTAAAATTTTTAAATATTTTTTAAAAAATATAGCACATAAATGTATGAAATATAGTGCACATTAAAATAAATAAATATTTAAAATATAAAATATTTACCCTAAAAAAATAAATCCAAAAAATTTCAAAATACAACTCAACTTTTTTCAAAACTTATAACATACAAATTTTCTCTTTTCAAAACTCAACTCAAAATATAGCTCCACACTCAAATCATGATTCTAAAAATAATTTTAAAAAATAAAATAATAAAATATTTAATTTTTTTTTCTTTTAAAATAGAATTTAAAATTGAGTTTAAAAAAGAGTTTTAAATTGAGTTTTGAGTTGTATTTTTGGTTATGAGTTTTGAAAATAATTTTTGAATTGAGTTTTGAGTAGTTTTGAGTTATGTATTGGGTTATGAGTTTTGAAATGATTTTTGAAATTTTTTAATTGAAATTATGATTCTAAAAGAGAATCAAACATGCTTCTTTGTTATTGTTTGGTTACTTAATTGTTTACGTTTCTAGTGTTCACATCATTATAAACTAAAATTTTGATTGATGTAACACTATAAAGGGTGAATTACATTAACAGTTCCTATAGTTTAGAGTTTGTGTCATATTGGTTCATGACTTTTCAATTATAATACATTTGATCCTAAATTTTGAATTTTGTTCCAAATAAGGACAATTGAAGATACCATTGGATTTTTCAAGGGCAAAATTGTCAATTTGATAAAATATAAACTAATTTGACAAAAATAAATGTCAAAAAAATATTATTGAATTTTTAAAAATTATTTTTACCCACCAAAGATAAAATTATGTAAAATTGATAAATCTGTTAGACATTTATGTTTTTACTAAATTAATTTTTATTATATGTTTGGATGATAATCATGTAATGGGTGGTTATTTTTTTTTTATTAAATTAGTTTCTGTTTTTCCAAAACTCAAATATGACGACAACTTTGATATCATTATTAAACCAATCCATTAAATCAAAAAATCCAAAACTAAAGATATTTCATATATTAAATATATTGATTACACATTAAAAACTTAACAACTATACATTACATGATTATCATCCAAACATATAATAAAAATTAAATTAGTAAAATAAATAAATGTCTAAAAGATTTATCAATTTTACATAATTTTATTTTTGGTGGGTAGAAATAATTTTTAAAAATTTTAAATATTTTTTTGACATTTATTTTTGTCAAATTAGTTTATATTTTATCAATTTGAAGATTTTACTCTTGAAATTAAGTAATAGTATCTTTAATTGTCCTTATTTAGAATAAGATTTAAAATTTAGGATTAAATGTACCACAATTAAAAAGTCAAGGATCAAAATGACACGAGCCCAAGCTATAGGAACTGTTCGTATAATTCGCCCTACTATAAAATAAATAAATAAGAATAAATTTTAAGATAAATTTTGATAGTTATGGATAACCTACCTGTTGTTGTGTTTTTAAATAAAAGGTTACAATTGTAAAAAAAAATAAAAAAAATTAAAAAGAGCACTGTTCTGGAAGTTCGACTGAACGACCGTCCGAACATCTAGGTGGATGATGAGCAAACATTTGGTATTGTATATATAGATGAGTTGAGGACACTTGAGGGGCATTATAGGCATTTTAGTGTTTAGTTTTGATGACATTAGCAGGTTCTATGAAGTGTGTAAACGACGATAAAAAATGGGAAAAACTTGGCATTGTCAGGTAAAGTAGAGAAGATTACTGTAATTATTGAAATTACAAGGCATGTCTCTGTATTTGTCAAAAATTTCAAGGGAGGTAAGTGCAATTTACCCTATATGTATTAATTTTAGTTAAATTATTTGTATATTTTGATAATTTTAATTACATCGTATTATATAAGTGTAATTATCATATAATAATTTTGTATGATATATGTTAAATTATAAAATAGTAAAATAAATACTCATTTTTAATAAAGTAATAGTTAAATTAGAAAAAAAAATTAGTAATATAAAATTAAAAGTAATTCTAACTATTTAATTTTCTTTTATATTCATTTGGAAAATAAAATTATATAGAAATAGAAATTGTATATCATTTATTAAAAAATTTAAATACAAATTTGTTTTTGGTAAATTGTCATATAATGATTTTATGTGATATATATATTAAATTATAAGTTGATAAAATAAATACTCTTAATTAAATTAAATTACCAATTATATAAATGAAATTGAACAACGGCTAACTAAAAAAGAATCACATAACATCTAAATTCCAAAAAGAAAAAATAATAAAAACATCCAAACGATAGATATATCTCATTGTGTGAAATGATTAATCGTCTGAAATATGATGTCAAAATATTAAAGAAATTACTGTTCAACAATTGAAAAATTATCTCCAGCAATAAATCCAAACTTTGAGGTTCCTCGAAAGTATCATTGTTATGCACTTTTTGAAAAAAAAGGAGGCAATTTAACATTAGAAAAAAAAAAATCCTAATACCCTTGGAAGAATTAAGAAGAAAAACATAAAATGCAAAATTGATATTGGGTTTGCAAATTATCTCAATTTATCATGAAAAATATATGAAAAATAAATATTTGTCAAATAGAATCCATATAAAATAGATAGAGTTAATATAATTTAAATTAGATTTTGATTTATTTAGAATTCTATATGTAATTAAGAAAATACATGTTAATATTGCTCTCTTAAAAATAAAAATAAAAAACCTTTATAATGTGCTACCAAAGTATGAAAAAAACACTACTATATATATGATGTGATATTAAATTTGAAAGTAAAAGAAAGTGTTGAGTACTTCCCGTGGCGGAGGTACATAAGGCCTAGGAGGTCACGTGCCACCCTGGGTTTTAGGATTTTTTTTTTAAACATAAAGAAAATATTTTAAATAAAAAAATTATAAAAATATTATTTAAAATAAAATGTCAGTGACATTTTTAAAATTATGAAAACAATAACAGTTATTTTGATTAAAAATAAAGAGACTATGATAAGTCTTATTATTATCTATAAAAATTTCAATATAATGGTGATATCTATCATTATAGACATGCAAACATAATTAATTTTAATGAAGATATGTAATTTATTAGATTGTTAGTTACATTTGATATGTAGAGTTTATCCTCCATATGTTTCTTTCCATTCATAACTAAAATAACCACTATATAAATTATAATCAAGCAACACATCTTCAATTATAAAAAATAAAAAATAAATAAATAAATTACAATAGGTCACAACTAATATCAGAATGAGTCATAACTAACTATTACTTGATATATAATCATAACCAAAAAAACAATCACAAGAAATTATAACTAAATTATATCTAACACTATAATGTGTTATAACTAAAAACTATGAAAATCATAATTGCGACATATAATAGATATTTTGGGGATATGTTTTATAAAATTTTTCTATTAAAATATATCATTTCTATCTCAACTTATCTTCTTTTTTAATTTTCCAATCCACCTATAAAATAGTTATTCTCCAATATTTATATAAAATTTAATCTCAAATTCTTTAATTTAAAATTCACATTTATCCAAATGAACTCTTAATATTTAAGTTTAGTAATATCTTATTATTATTTATTATATAATTAATATTATCAGTAATTTGTGCCCTCTTCACTGAATTTTTGATTACGCCACTTACTACTTCCAGACGCTGAGCAAGTAGTATTTCTTTGAAATTTGACCAATTAGGCATATCATGCCGCCCACAATCATGGCTTAAATATAAAACACAGGAAATTCTACCACCACCAAACTCTTGAAAGATCCAAATAAAAAGGTCAATAGCTTAGCTTCCATTAAAAAAAAAAAAAACAAAACCCATGCAATATGTCTTGCAAGCGCCCATAACAAATAAAAAATGAGAAGCGTCTTTCAATAGAAAATCACCAAGAAAAGGGTAAAGCAGACAAAAAAATGATTAAACTGACTACTTCAAGCATATAGATGGAAATCAAGCACACACTAAAATAGCCGTCCAAAACTGTATTTTGGATGGGCCAAAAAACAAAAAGCAAATTGAATTGTCCAATACAATTTCATCGGATATACAAATCCCTCTCTACTTATTTGGGTATTTCCCATTTCAATATTGAACAAAATAATGTATCAAGTTAGAGAATCATAGGAAGGATCCTCATCGTACTAATGAAACTAACATTGACAAGAATGCGAACATTCATTCATTATTTACCATGCAAAGACACCGATGTCATTTACCATGCTCAAGCATTAGCACCTGGAAAGAAGATGATTCAGTAAGATCAGATGCCAAAAATAATAATTCTTCAATGGATGACAACTCATGATCTACACAAGTTCTGCTAAGTATAAATCTTATGTTGTCTCTATCCATTTGCTCACAATGTATAGTGTGGTCACACGTGCCCCGCACAGGCACACAAAGCTAAGATTCAATGTCATCATGGCTACTTACAAAAAAAATAATAAATAAATAATATACATATAAATTGCTATCATGGTTGACAAGAAAATGATGATGATAGACAAAGTGTTGGATGAGGAAAGAATTGAAGATTAGGATATCAATTAGGATTTAAACATTGTATTGTTTTATCTTTGATAACTTTTAATTAGGATTCTCTTGGATGCCTATAAATAGGCAATTATGCAACACTCAGACTATGGTTACTGAATTTTGGATATTGAAATCAGAAAGGGTTTCTCTTATTTTCGTTTGGTGTGGCCGTTCTTTTCTTTTACATTTTGTCGGCAGTCCAGCATCACAAGATCAGTGACCTGTATAGGCAAATCCCATAAACGGAAGTAGAATATTTCTTTCTAAGAATAGTTCACAATCATATCTTAAAAATCCATGCCAACCAATAAACTTATGAAATCAAATGACACAGAAACACGCAATGGATTCATCTATATTCCAAAGGGAAGCCTAACCTAGGCACAAAGGGTAACCATTTGATACCCTGCCCGTCGAGATAAATTAGAAATAGGATAAGTGAGTGGTACCTTTGGCTTTGAACACTAGAGCAGAAGTGTAAAGAATGAAATCATTGTGACAAAAGAATGAACAGTGATGTTCATTCATGTTGAAGGCGCAGCATCAAAGGAATGAAGAACTTGTTCCAGTATCTTTCTTCTATTCATGTCCAGAGGACTCTCTGGTTTGTCAGAGTGGGCAATATTAAGGATGTAGAGCTTCTTAGAGGCCACAAATGCAGCTGAAAATATCCTTTTTAGCCCTCCTCTGGTGCTATCAACTTTGTACTCAAACTCATACACTCGTAGGCCTCCCTTGCCTGATCTCTCTGAAACTGCAATTACCTCAGCGTCCTTTGTACTTTCCTGTACAAAGTGAAACTCATGAATACGGAAAACAACTTAGAACTTGCACACACAAAATTTATATATAGCTTTTTGTTATTATTTTTATTCTTAATTAAAAAAAAAGAAAAGAACAGCTGCAGATTGCTGAATCCAATATCATACAGTATGAAGCATATATACTTCTAAAAGGGAGACGTATCCATATTGTATCCATATCGGATATCAATACTCCTTGGATACTTACGGATATGTATCGGATACTTATTTTTACGAATTAGAATTGTAGCATTTCTTGCACAGCATTATGATATAATATAATTGCGAGGATACATATAGGAATATTTTTTCAATACTTTGCTTAGTACTTTGATAAGAAGAATATAGTAAGTAGAAGTATTAGAATTTGTAAAATTGACGTATCCTCATTGTATCATGCATGTCCTCTATAAATACATTGAAAATAAGGGCTAACGAGAGAAGATGACAACAATATAATTAAATATCAATAAATAAATAAGCAAATAAATTTACATATAACATTTTTGACTGGTGTAAAAAGGAAAAACGCAGACAAATTGTGAATTGTTCTGTTATCGTAATAGAAACACATTAGAATTGATATTGAAAATAAATATTTGAAAATTTAAAAAGTAAACTAACTACTGGCTTAAATTAATACACAATTCTTAAAAGTTAGTATTTTGCATTATAAAATTACAATGTGGTTTCTCATCATTCTTGATCTTATATGTAGGACTTCCAAAGGGGATGCACGGTTGGAATATGATGGGGAAGGGAAGGATAATGCTTTTGCCATGGTGGTAATGTGTAAGGGCTTACATTAGCGTAAGAAGGGTATTGAGCTAAGAATGCATATACTGGGCAACTATAGGGCTTATAAAGAATGAGAGGGGCTCATGGAGCTAACACAAGGTTTAGGGGTGGTAGTGTTTGGTCTTGGATGAGACGGACAACTCTTTGTTGGTTCAAGAAGGTGGAATGGATTTGATGGGGTTGGAGGTGGGGGAATCTGAGTTTGTTTCTATGGGTGGCCCAGTTGGAGTAGTGAGAATTAGCTCATCTATTTGATCCCAAAATTGCCTTTTAGCATGTTCATCTGACCATATTTAGGGTGCGCAGGCACTAATCAAGTTAATCATATTTTCTCTAAGTCTAATTAGCTTTATTTTGTCTCATTTTGTCACAATGGTTACTCAATTATCTTTAAGATGGTAAATCTACAATTATTTCTAGACCATTTATTGTGTCTATCTTATCGGTATAGCTAATTCTTTATTCTATTAATCTTGTTTTCTCACCCACCACTTAGTTACTTGTAAGCATGCTATATGTACCATGCTTCTAATGACATTATCTTTTAATCATAGTAGCTAGTATCTACTAATTCCATTGTTTTACATATTAATGTTGCTATTTTTCAAGTTGCCAACTAGACCTACAATCCTGGACTAGCTTCTTTATCTGCACTCATCAATGTTGCCTATTTTACATTCCACCTGAATGTCGACACAACACTCCTTGAAGATTTTTTGAAAAGCCCAAAGACAAATGCTTAAGTCTTTACTGTTTCTTCAATTTCAAACCCCTCCCTCCTTATAACTTACAACAGTAAAACTTGATTCGACATAATTTATTTTGGTCTTGCTAAGAGGGCGAAACTCTAAAGTGTCTTCGCGGCTCTAAATCAGTTTACATTGATTAAGATCAGTAAAGAACATATACATGGGACTCTTCATACATCACATCCATATTACACAAAATAATGAAATCATATATGTACATCTACATGTGATTTTCATTAATCCCCCTAAATTGTTTGCTTTTTCCCTTTAGTACATAATTCAAATTGTTTCTTTATTTAATCAGTTCTATTCAGGATGGTCGGCGGAGCAAACAGAAGCAAAGCAACCGGGTTACCTTGCGCCTTTCAGCTTGAACAAGCTTATCTGCAACAAATTGAGGACTCCCAAATTCTTCAAGTTTGGTAAGACGAACAGGGTTAACCACAACACCAACATTGTTAGCTCCTTTGTTTGGCTCCTCAAACAGAACAGTTGCCCCTGCTTTATCAACCTAATTAATCATCCAAAAGGCTAACCACATTTACCTTCAGAAAAATAAGAAACAAACTGGATGTCAACCTTAATACCCATATTAAACAATTTTCAAAAGATACCCACAAACCCAAACACAAGTACACATGCATATAAACCAAATCAAACCAAACTAAACTAAACCTTGTGTCCCAATCAAGATAAATCATTTTTGACAACAATTGTATGCTGAGATAAATTAAATAAATTTATAGTGGCATCCCATGTTTATGTAATTACATAAATATATGTACACATACACACACACACACACAAAGAGAGATAGATCAGAGGGAGAAAGACCTTAATCCAAGAAGGGGGTGTGAGGAGAGTGAAACCCTCTTTCGAATCAGTGTATCTTTGAAGCTGAAGATCTTCAGCCATGGCTATAGAAATGCTGGTGGTTATTGGTGATGAAGCAAAGACAAGTGCTACAATGGAGAGGCTGAGCATTCTCTTTCCCAAACAGATTGAGGGGTAATCTTTAGGAGTGTCTTTTGATTCTCTTGTGAATTTGTGGGAATAAGAAGAGGATGTGTATGCAGAGAAGAAGAGGAGACTTGGGCGAGGCCTCTGTGTTGTTGTTGGTGTGGCTAAGGGGAATAAGCAAACACCCGACACAGCCATTATTGCTGAATTTGATGATAACACCAGAGGAGGCTAGTCCTAATCCTAAATCATATATGCCCATTTTTTTTACTTATTTAATTTTTTTAGACAATTTTATATATATAAAAATAAAATTTATAGTTTGACAATTGTAATAAAATAAATTTTAAATTTTATTAATTTAAATATTAATTTTTTGATTTTTTAATTTAAATTATTTTTCTATTTTCATTAATTAAAATTAATAAAAAAAATAGTATTTAAAACCTTAAACTCAATGTATATATATATAAAAAAATGTTTAAAAAAAACCTATTTTTGTTGAGTTTAATAACTAAAATAATTTTTTTTTTATCAATTTTATTAAACAAAAATAGACAAATAGTTTTGATAAAAAATAAATAAATAATTTAAAAAAAAAAAAATTTCTTAAATTATTTAAATATTTTTTTTATTTAAAATTATCTTTTATACGCTTAACACAAGTAACTAAAAATAAAAAAATAATATATCTTTGATGTTTGACTAGTCAAATAGCTATTTGCTGGGTAAAAACCACCAAAACTAAATTTGATAATTAGATTGATGGAATTGAAATTGGGCAATTTACTCATTATTTTAACTAAAAAAAATAATGAAAAAAAAAAATTAAAAATAACTAGTTTGATGAACATGCTTCCTAATTATTACTAGCTGCCCCTTTCAAAAATGGGTGTTTCAAGATGGATGGAGCTTTTCTCATCATGAGAGAATTTAAGGGATCTATATAGGTCATCATGGGTTCCGTTTTAATAATCTGAATCGTTTATTTTTAAGGATCCTCAATGTATATTATTTATAAAAAATTACTTCTATCTAATAATCATAACTTTTTTTTTATATTTAATTTTATCGCATTTGTCTTTGAAAAAATGAACCATAAATATATTTTTGAAATTGACTATTCAATTTTTTAAGAACAAATGCGATAAAATGAAAAGATTACGATTACCAGATCACACTAAATTTTTTCATAAATAATATACATTAAAAGCTACAAAATGAAGTTTCGAATTATTAAAATGAGACTCGTGGTGGGCCTTACGAGCTCCCTTCTCATATTGAGATCCCAACATGAAAGAAATTCAATCCTAAAAAATTTTAATTGTTTGTACATAATGTATAAGAGTGCATGTACAACTAATTAAAATAAGAGCAAATTACATACTACATTTTTTGATGTTTGCTTAAAATATAGATTGTTCTATATATGTAGTTTGAAAAATTATAAATATTTCTTTATTTGAAATTTTTTATTTAACAGAATTAGCTAAAAAATGAAAATTTTAACTGTTTTCCTATGTAATAATAAAATTATCAAAATTATTAATTGAAATAAATTTATGATGTTATTAAAAATTGTTAATTGACTTAATAATTTATGAGTAATGATATATAGCTCTAATTTGAGAGTTTTAAATGGAGCTCTAGTGAGGTGGAAAAGATAGAGTAGAGAGAGATAGAGAGAGAAGTGTAGACCCTACATTCACATGGGTACTTTCCACATCATTAGAGTTACATTTGAGCTCTCAAATTAGAGCTGTAAAACATTATTAATAATTTATTAATAAAAGACACCATTTATTTTAAATTAAAAATTTCAAAAGATCAGGATATAATTTCTAAAACTACATAAATAATTTATTTTTTAAGCAAAGCTTTTATAATTTAGGCATAGTTTGGGAAGTTGGTTTTGGTGAGTTAGGGGCTAAAATAGCCACACAAAAAAAAAAAAAAAGACTATTTTAGCCACAAAAAACAAAATATCAAATTCAATCCATAATCATTACACTCCTCTCTCACAAAAAAAATAAAAAAAAGTCAAAAAGCCAAAAAATTCTTCCCAAATCAAACTTTTTAGCCCAAGACTAAAATAACCAAAAAATTAAAAAGCTAACCCACTTCCCAAACAAAGGCTTATTCATAAAACAATGTTAAACAATACCCTTTTCAACGCACCCATTAGATAATGAAAAGCAAATTCTCAGCACTTCATCTGTTATCAAACATCTATTCCAAATCTAACTTTAAAATGAAAAAATTTAACAGCGTAATTATTATTATTATTATTATTAAGAGAATTTATCGTTAAGTTTCATACATAAAATTTAAAATTCATTTAATCTCAAAATAAAATACTTATGTCAATTAGTCTTATATATTTTTAATTGTTATAAAAAAAATCTTATTTTTGTAAATCAACAGTATAATGCAACGGAATAAAAATTATGGTCATACCTTTCCTGCAGAGTCTAAATAGAAAAGATCTTGTGGGTAAATCACGTAATTCCTGAATCTGATCAGTCAACCCAGCAGTGGGGTGATATTACAACAGTGAATATCACCCACACAAATCACAGTGCAAACGGCTTTGATCGTTGTTTTTGGGAGAGAGTCAGAATACGGGAAATTTCTGAGTGTTTTATACTTGACAGGAGGGTCTCAATTTATACATGTATAGGGGAGAGAGGAAAAGCCTCCAGCCTTTATGGCTGGTCATTAATGCACCATTAACCTCTGCAATAAAGGCAGGAGTTACAAACCCCGTTAATGCAGGATTTACAGTTATAAATTCAAAGCATTGAAATGGTCATGCCACATGGGCGCCCATTTCTAACATCTCCCACTCGCACATGAGTTGATATGACACTGCCACATCTCTATCTCAATCTCCCCAAAAAATGAACAGTCTCATACTAGCCAATGCACCGTGCGACCGCTGAGAACACCTGCATGTGGGAGCTCTATACTAGAAACTCAAAATGAGCCAGCATAGAGACATCAACCCAAAAAGAACAGAAATAGTGCCTCATATACCCTAGACCCATCTAATTACACCGGTCCACAAAAAAAAATCTCTAATCCCTAAAAAAAGAGCATATTTGACCCTCTCAATTCTTGCAATATATTCACACTCAATCCGCCTCTCATACAGAGCGATGTCAGTTGCCGGCAATGAATATACAATAGTGGTGTAATACTAGATGATCTTCCCTTTGCCCTCATGCCATTTAGTTTAAGATTGACCGTTTTCCCAGTGATGTCCCTTAAGGCCGAATCATACATGACCTCAGGCAACATATCAAAGTAGCAGAACATCAACCCTTTACCTCATGACATAGTCAAAAGTCACAAAAGGGTACATAAATGAAAGTCATATCAATAATGACATGTAAGACTCACACGGTGAGGAAGTAGGGATCCATTCTCTCACCTCATTACTCGGTCGCCAAGCACATATAGTATGAATACATGCTACGGTGGAGTAACTCTTCCATAAAGAGTGACGTCATACTCGATACACCGTACAGATATTAGTCTAGTCGCTTTCTAGCGCCTAACCCGAATTCTCTATTTGCTCGCCTTCCAGGCGCCAAATGAGATCTCGCATCTGGCTAATCATAACAGGCACAACATGGAAAGTGGGTACTAACATCCATGTTTGGTCCTTAACATGGCCTCATCTTGGTTTGTAACCAAGGCGGCATACATAGTGGACAATTTAAGCCTCTCTTGGCTCCAAATAAAAATAAACCACCAGTCTCATCCTTGCTCGCTCCCAAGCGCCAAGGGCGATTGCTCGTTTGAGTAAGCCAATCTTGCCTGCTGACATCATCATCTGCTAATCATTATGACACAAACCATAATAGTGTCAAACATCCCATCATCTCAAAATAAGTGATCGATTTTTAAAAAAATGACCACAGCTTGCGCAATTATAGATTCCAAACATAAGCCTTATCAGCACCTCTTGCGATAAGTATATACAACGGAATCCACCATGTGCGCCTCATATGAAATGATTTAAGATCACTACCTCTTGCGCAATAACCTCTCTAAAGATATTTTTGGTGACCAATTTGCGTTCATTCTTAATGCGCCCAACTAGCGCAGATGCGCCCAACTAGCGCATTGAATTTTACAAGGAGCAAATTAATATACTACTAGTAAAGCATTTTATCCACAGTCTAATGAGCAAGGTCAATGTCTAAACAACTCAGTTGACCATTTACCAAAGATAACACTTATCATGCCGAATACGCCCACATAGCTTACTTTAGGCTCCCACAACAAAGAAAAGATCAAGGAATATAGGTCATCTGTTTCTCCCAAAAACAATCCGAGGATTCACTCAATAGCTAAGGCTTTAGCTTTTACCGATAGGTAAGTCAATGGGTTTGTAATTTTGCATCTAGAATCGTTCTAGGATATTCCTTATGTAAGTCATCGAAGACAAATCGAGAATTTTCCTAAAACAATCCCTAAGGATCATACATCCGGGTATATAAATTACATCACCCATGTCCATCACATCTAAAATAGAGGACTGCCCACCCTAGGTGGCGACAACCTTATAAATTCCTGGCTCATAATGACTAAGTAAGGAAAAAACTTCTTTTGGACCATTGATCATGCCTCAGTGGTCTTCATCGATCATCGTTGGCCTATCATGGCTTGACGAAATCTAAGAACCACTGTTTGGATAACTGCTTTAGGCTGTAAAAGATTTATTGGAACTAGCAACTTTTTTGCGCTCCTAACTTTTCACCATAAAAGCAGATGGTAAATCCCTACGGATCTACTTATCCAATTCTCTAACGAGAAATCGGGTCACAATGTCCACAAGTCAATGTTCCGAACTTATGTTAATCATAGCCTAAGTCGAAATAACCTCACTCTCTAGGAGGAAGTCTTCTCACGGTCTACACTTTTCTCAATGGTGTGACTTTTCGGTATCTAGCGAGTCTTATGCCTCAACAATGACTATCCAAATTACACATAAATTTAGAACAGTTTTGTGTCATAATGGAAAGTCAACCAAATTATAGAAATGGTTAATCCTCAAAGACTTTGTCTTAAACTGCGCAACATTGATCTACTTTCTAAAAACAGGGGACTAGAGCCTTTGGTATTATCCTAGGCTCTTTATCATCTTGCGGAGCAATCATGAATGTTTCCCTCTCAATCACCTAGTGATGACGTGGAAAATTTTCACATTTGCTACCACGCAACTAAG